GGTTGCCAGCGGAGTGTGCGGGTGGTGGTGGGGGCGGCTCACACAAAACAAACGATGTGGTTGCAAATTAGTAGTAAACCACCAACTACATCAAGCGTGAGAGATCCAGGGCTGCAGTGGCTCCCTGGATCCCAGGATCCCAGGAGGGAAGTGGGATAAGTCAGGCAGCCAGTCGGGCGGGGAAAACTGTGCAACTGGGATCATCAGCACTACGCAACCACCAGCACCACCACCACCTCACGCACACCACCCGGCGAAAGCACGCACATCCAGGACGAAAAGGATGCTAGGACATCGCAGAGGGCGAGGTCCGCTCACACAAATAGAATTATTCCGTGCGTCCTGCAAACGGATGCATGACAGACAAGAGACGAGGAGCGACTCCAGCAGCTAACTTCGAGAAGTAAGCCGTAAGTATAAAATCACGGCTGCCATGCCACACATCGCACGCTCTTTACTACAGAAAAATACGGAAACTTTAAAACTTTCAAACAAAAATGTTTGCATACCACCAAAAAATATTCTAACCTGTAATTTCTTAAATATTAACATTTAAATTAATTATTAAGTCATAAGATATTTAAAGCTCTTTCGCAATTTAACCGAAATAATAACTTCGAAGGTAGTCATTTTATTTGGATTAAAACAAAAAAAACTTATACTAAAGAATACAAAACGGTTTGAATGATTTAGCTTAAAATTCAGTTACTTGAGACAAAGAATTTTTAACTTCATTTTTTACTATTTTTATTTTTTTAATCCATTTGAAATGAATCAAAACGAAGAGTATCCTAAACTGCAACTGCAATATTAACCTCTCTGTTCCTCGTAAAGTGAGATGGTTGCTGCTCGAATTCTTGGTGCTGCTGCTCTCACTAGGCAATTGTTGGTGGGCAGGATGACGAGTGGCAAGGGCGCAGGATCGCTGCGGCCCTATGTATCCTTGGCGACCGAGTGCGACGGAGATGGGAGGAGTGTGCAGAGCAGGAAGTACCGGATGTCACCGGATGTGGACTTGGTCGTGAGTGTGTGTGTGTGTGTGTGAGTTCCATGTCGTGTGACTTTGGTCATGGTTATGACTCCTGACTCCGTCTCAGGTGTCTGCCTCCGGACTCCTGCCTTTCACCTTTCCCTCGTGTCTTTCTACTAGACTCCGCTCCCCTGCCCTTTTCACATTAGACACGGATTGTCCCTTTGTTGAAATGCCACCAGGATGTGTGGAACTATAATAATATGTAAGCTTAGGGATCAGTCGGGTTATTAAACAGTTGGTTGTTCCCACTTCTTAATATATAATATATAAATAAGTTAGTATTTTTAATTGCATCCACTGTGGTATAAATCCTATTTAGCAAACTCATTTCTTGTTTTCCATAGCTATTCTCAATTTCCGCGACGAATACCTATTTATTTTAGTGTTCAAAAGCTATCAACACGACTCAAAGCAATAATTAATTAATTATAGGAAATGAAATGCCGCAAAGTTTCTCACCTAGCAAGCGAATTTCCAAAATTCCAATTTCCCACGCCCCGATTAAAATTTCGGGCAAATTGCCAAGCGGCACCTGTGTGTTTATGTTCCCTCTCTTTCTGTTTCCCAGCTTTCTCTATTATTTTGCCAAATGTATATTTATTACCGGAAATGTAAAACAACATTGTTTGGGGGCAGGGCTTTGGGAAAATCGGCGGTGGAGCAGGATCGGCGGAGACACGTGAATTGCGACCGAAATGACAACGGTGGCAACAGATGCCAAATGAGGCGGGTGGTTGGGTGGTTGGGGGATGGGTGGATGGGTGGGTGGTTGGTTCTATCGGAGGGCGGACTACCACCCACTCGTAGCCGACGCTTCTGCTCTGCAATGGACAATTTTAATGGGAAATGAATTTAATTGATTTTCGCGTGGCATTTTGTTATTACAACCTAAATGAGATTTCCGTCTCTGAACAAATAATTGTCCTTGCGTTCAATGGGTTTCGAATATTAAAAAATGTATGAGCTTTAATTGATTGGGTGAGAAAAAAATATAAAGCGTTTGCTTTGATTGAAACGACAGGTTAAAAACGAGCCTTTAAAATAACATGGTAAAAGTGTGCTTTAATATTTTTTAGGTTGAGAGCTAAATATTTTTTTTTAAGAAGTATTTATTACCATGCTGATATGCAACATCAAATCAAGGCTTAAATTACATTACTCTATTAATGTAGTCTTTGTAAATTTTTTCTTGACTTGTATTTTTTAAATTAAGCAAGCTCTTTGGAGTGAAAGTGTAATTTGAGATTGAAGCCTGAATATTATTAACAGTTGCGTTGGGTGGCTGTCTTCTACATTTCCGTGTTTTGCTTATTTGTTCAAACAGATGCTGCTGTTATAGCCAGTTGCCGTTGTTGTTGCCCCTGTTGTTTGTTTCAATGTGGTCGCCATTAGTTTGGCTTAGTTTTTGTTGCAAAATGTTTATTTCGGCAAAGTTTCTGGTGGTTGAGATTGGCTCCGAATTTGGTCCAAGACTGGTCCACGCAAAATTTTCAGGGCGTGGGACCCAGACAAAAAAAACTCCATTGAATGTTAAAAAATTTAAAGCAAACAGTACCCTGTTCGAAAGAAAATCATTTTTTCTCAGACTTTAACTGCAACTATTTTTTAACTGTACTTGGATTTAAAAATAAAATGTAATTCTGCATAAGTTAAAAAGAAAAATCAAAGAATACCTTAATACTCATAATTTGTTTGTCGAGTATGAAAAATCGATATTGAAATATTTTTAATACCTTCAATTTTGGTATTACAGCACAAAGAATTAAGCGAGTTAAAATTTCGGGAAAATAGTTACCTTTAAATGGTATGCAAATAAGTGAACATATGCAAACTAAATGTAATTAAAATCTAACAATTTGGAATAAATGAACAGGCAACCACGGGAACCTCGCCACTGCCAGAAGTGGTTTATGTCCAATGGAGCCGGGTTCTCAGTGTTAAATTTCGACGGCCACCGCAGCCTATTTATAAACATTTACCCCAATTTAACGCAGATCCTGCGAGCCGAGGCAGATATGTGTGCGGGATGGCTATTGGCATTTTGGACAGCGGCTGCACATCCGCTTGTGGCATGCCACAAACGCTGCGGCTTCTTCGTAGGCACGCGAGTCTCGACCACGCCCATGGTTTAACCACTTGATTGTCTTTGTTGCCGTTTCGGGTCACCGAAAAAGGCTGAAATGTCAATGACCACGGGCAATCACATTTATCAGACCATCAAAGCCATGATTTTTACAGGCATTCCGGGGCGCCTGTTGTTTGTTTCGTAATTAAAAGTGGGGTAATCCTGCTGAAAAAAGGGTTTATGTGTCACTTAAATCGATTCAGCGTGCTTCAAAAGTTAATACAAAGAAAAATTTACGTCGCATACTGGCGGTTATAAATAAACTCCCACCAGAGCTTTATTCTGTTCAATCTCTTTATGCAATCTCCGTTTCTTTGTACTTTGTAACTGGTGTGTTAACTTTATATACATACTCTATATATATGGCCCCCAAAAAAGCCAGTGAACGGATCAACAGAAACCTTTTAAATATTGCAGCCAAAGTATAAGATCCAGATTTAAGTAATATGGTATAATACTACTTAAAGTATTTCAGCAACGCATGGTTTCAGCATTTTCTTTCAAATATAATTGAATTGCCATTGATTTTTCCATAGCTATCTGTGGAAAACTTACATAGTTTTATCTGGGACTTTATGTGTTACAAAAAGACAAACGGGGCATTAAAAGCAACCAAAAACAGTGCACAATGCTAACAAAAACAGAAAACAGAGGCTGCAAGTTGTGTGTGCTCTGAGCAGTATGAAAATTCAATTACTTTATTTCGCTGTACCCTCATCCGATTTTCGCCCATATGTTTGCTCGCCATGCGCCGGCCACAAAACAAACACACACCGCCCACTCACTTCAACCGACCAGACACACTCACACACATACACACTTAGAAACGGGATGCACCTGTCAGTTACTCTAAACACCAAACATTTTCAACCTTTTTTTTGCACGCTCGCGAAATTACATAGAAATTTTCACCCGTTGCCGAAGGAAATGGCAAAGAGAGCATTTGAAAAGGGGCAAAAAGGAAAAGCAGGAAACCGTTCTTTGGCCCATTTCGCAAGTTGTGCCCATTGCACACATTTGCGGCTCTTCGCATGAGCGCGCAACTTTACTTGCCAAAAGCTCCCAAGAACACACCCAACTTTTTCTCGAGTCTCAGTTTTCTTTTTTTTTTTTTTTGCTTCCTTTGGTCCATTTCTATGCTGGCTTGCTTTTAGCTGGATATTTTGTTGTCCCAGGTTATCTGCAAGCTGGAGTGCGAATGAGTGGCGGTTCGAGATGGAAACGTGAGCGAAAATGTTTTAGCTAAGTATCAATTTTTAAAACAAAAAATTATCCCGAGAAAAGATTGTCATTCAATACACAATACCAATAATAATAAATTGTAAACATAAAAAATAAATGGCCATCCAAAAATGAAGAGTTAAAATATTCAATTTATTTTAAGGAATTTCAAAATACAAATAAATATTAACGAAAACAATAAGATTAATATTCTTACTATGCCATACCTAATCAAGGATTAGTTTGGGGAGCCGTATCTTCTTTTTGGTTGCATGGCTGCGGGTTTTTCGCAAGACAAATGCATTTCTGAGCGTAGGCAAGAAACGCGGTCCCAGACGAAGGGAGTTGAGCCTCGCTCACTGGCTTGTGTCGATGCTTTTTGGCTTTTAGTTAAATAGAACTGTATTTGGGGCTGCGATGCTACACCTAATGTACAAGTCTGCGAGTGGCCTGTAGTTTTTCTTTAGTTTTTGGCACTTGGACTGATTGGCAGCATGTCAGCTCTCGATACGCAACTCCTACGAACTAACGCGACAGAAAAAAATATATTAGAAAGTCGTTTCCACTTGCTGGAGAATTGGCATAACTAATTGCATTTAAACGGACGAAGTTTAAAAGTTTTCGATTTCATTTGAGGTTGGCACATCTTTTAGAGGAACTTATCGTAGATGCCATGTTCTTAATGCTTGGCGTTTGTTCTTTATTAATTTTGGTGGATGGAATAGATGGTATGAGCTAATAAATGTCTTTAATAAAATCCAGCCTTGTTCTCGAAGTCGGAGAAGATTAGTTGATTTTGAAATTTCAAAATAACACGAGAACAAGACTGACAGACTAAACCAGTTGCTATCGTAATTATACTTTTATATTGCAGTAAACTGCAAAAAACCACCCAACAATGATTGCAGGTTTAAGAAAGTAAAATGGTTTAATCAAAAAGGTGTATGTGTACAGAGATTTACTTGTCGACACGGTTTTGATTATCGCACGGATTGCGAACTCCTTTGTTATGTTCCTCCTAAAAAGGAAAACACTTCCATGGACCTGCTTCAAAGTTTGCTAGAATTATTACAGACGATACAACAACCGAAAACTACTAAAAGACTTAAGACTGCCAAGCCTACTAGAAAAACCCGAAAAAGCTTGAAGCCATCAGTTTTTAATACAACTAAATCTGTTTCTGCAATTACTTGGACTTTTTTTCCAAATTCAAGTTTAACCGTGATACCACCTTTTATCAGCAAGCCACAACTTACTACAAAAAGTATACACGAAATAAATTCAACGGCCGAGATGCTACTTCCAGAAACATATACACTTGAACAACAACGTACCACTATTGGTATACAGGAACTAAATTCAACAGCCAAAATGATAATTCCAGAACCACATCTTAGCACAGCTAGTATGAAGGAACTAAATTCAACAGCCACGACGACACTTCCAGAACCAAGTACACTCGAACCAAACCAGAAACGGAGAACCCGCTTTAAAGGAATTTTTGGCTGAGTTAGTAGAAGCTGAAATGTAAGAGAATGTGACAATGCACATAAATCTACGCTAAGTTGTTAACATATAATGTAACTAACTTCCCTTCCAACAATTTTTTATTTAAAAACCATTTTTTTCTTTGGCCTGCCTTAAAGTATAAAAATTTAAATAAATATTTGCAAAGACATTGACATTTTTACTTTTACTAATTCGGGAGGCGTATCTTCTTTTTGGCTCTGGGTTTTATTTATTAGGAGGCATCGATGCTATCACCTAATGAACAAGTCTGCGAGTAGTTATTCTAAATTTTTGATACCTTAACTGATTGGCAGCATGTCAGCTCTCCACACGCAAAGAACCAACTAACTCCACAATGGCAAAGAAATATATTCGAAAATCGTTTCGACTTGGTGGAGAATTGACTTAACTAATTGAATTTAGACGGCCTAAGTTTAAAAATTCTCGATTTCACTTGGGGGTCGGCACATCTTTAGGGGAAACTTATCGTAGATGTCATGTTTTTAATGCTTGGCGTTTTCTCTTTATTAATTTTAGTGGATGGACAAAGTGATGATATGAGTGAGTAAAATATTTTTAGAAATATGTTTATGTTGTTCTCGAAATCTGAGTTGGTTTTGAAAATATAAATATAACTTAAATATATATCAAATTTAGAAATAGTTAAGTTAACAAAAAGTACTATCAAAACAAATAAATTCAAATTTGTTATATTTTAAATCAATACGAGAACAAGACTGACAAATTTAAGAAATAGCTTTAGTAACAAAAATGTTATAATGTTTAGTAAAGTGCAAAAAACCATTCAACACTGATTGCAAACTGCAAACACTAAAATGGTTCTTCAACCAGAGGAAAGGTGTATGTACCCAGAGATTTACTTGTCAAAGCGGTTTTGATTTTCGCTTAGATTGCGAACGCAGTTGCAATAATCCTAAAAACCCGGAAAACCGTATTTCCAGCAAGATACCTGAAAATATAGTGGAAACAGTACCCACCTGGCCGGATAAGAAACACACTAAAAATCCTAAGACAATAAAACCATTTAAAACAACCCGAAAACGATTAAGAACGCCTGTTCCTAATACTACTACAACTACTACTAGTACTCCTATAGCTACTACTATAGCTACTACTATAGCTACTACTACAGCTACTACTACGCCTACTATTACAACTAATCCTACAACTAACCCTACAACTTCTACTACGCCTACTACTGTTTCTTCAGATACTTGGATTGTTTTGGAAGATTCTAATGTTACGGAGTTTCTACCACCATTTACAAGAGCACCAAACTATGGCACAATTGTTATATCGCCACTTAGGGGACGTAGGGACTTCAACTTTAAAACAACAACAAAGACGTCAATTTTAAAGAGAACATTTGGCTTTACCAAAAAGCCAAGATTATTCAACTAAGCACATAAATCCAAAATTCGTTAAAAAACGCCTTTTGAAATATTAAAGACAAAATGGTCAGCAAGTTGTAAAATGTGTTTTTATTTTTATTTGGCTTTTGGTTAAAGTTAAGGTCACCTTTTGAGCTAAATCAAAACAAAATATGTGATAAATATATATTAAATGAGCAACTGGTGAGTCTAGTTAAATTAACCCAATATAGTAAAATCAAAACACTAAACATTCACAACATTTCAGTTAATCACTTGTTTTTCTTGAAAAAGTGCTTAGCGAAAGAAGAAACAGAATGAATTCTTTTCTTGTTTTTAAGAGCCACAAAACTTAATTATGAAGCATTTATAGCGTGAAATAAACCTCCTGTTGCCTCTCAGGATAATTACGGAACACGAAACAACAACAACATTAAGAGGAAGAGGGAACAAAAAAAATGTCATCCAACAACAACGAATAACCGCAACTACTTAGCAACATTATACACTTCCGTGCCAGCATCAGGATCTGAAAAACCCACCCAAAACGTAATTATTGTTGCGGTAAATGCCACACCCCCTTCCACACTGGCATGGCCCCGCCCACTCGACCACTTCGGCCACAGACCAGGCTTTTTAATTTCTTTATACAAAAAAAGTTGGGCCCTAAAATGTATGCTTTTCGACTCATTAGTACCCTATATAATAAACGCGATGAAGGAATAAGTAAAAAAATATTGGATTACAAAAATTATTGCTTCAAGCGACAGAAATTTTACACATTTTTAAAAAGGTGTTTTAAAATTTTAGTACATTTTAAAAGAAGCTTAATAACTAAAAAAAATATATTACATATCATGTCATCTTTTTAGAGGAAGCGTTTCTAAATTGAATTAAAAAAAAACTTAACGGTACAAGTGTTTTCATATAAATAAATATAAATAATGTATAGTTAGGCACTGAGAGCAATACAAAGAATTAAACGAAATGAAGAACAATATTAATTGCATAGAAAATTAAATTGAAACTTTCGCAAGCCCATGGACCCCAGCAGTAAGTGGAATTAAGTGAGAGTCGGAAAGACAAACGGACTGAGTGGGTGCTATAGAATGAGCACGAAAGAGAGGTGTATATGTCAGCGTGCCGCGAAAATTAATCCATTTGCTGTGACAATGACTTTTATGCGGTTTCCAGCAACGCGACAGTGGCCGCCGCCATCCGGAATCGCCGGCCAGGAAGCCACTTCGCCCAGCCAGTTGGCAAAGTCAAGCCGCAGGCCCAATGCGGGCTTCACCAGGGTGAAACTTGGTGGAAATAGGTAAAGGAAAAGCCGTGGTGAAAAAAAATCTGCCGGGTCGCTTCACAATGCTGCGACATGTAAATATTTGGCGACATTTATAAAAAATGTTTTTGGACAGCCCCGAGCTCTTCTTTTCGACCGAACGCGAAGCCTTATCAAAGCAATTATCTCTAAGATGCCTCGTCGTCGACCTGCCCTCCCACTCTTTCTTACCAACAGCGAAATCGCACAGTGGAACAACAGATAATATGACGTTATGTTAATATTAATATTTTATAAAGACTGTCCTCAAAATATGGTATTTGATTAAGTATTTAAAAAGCAATATTAAACGGCTTAAGGAAACATTTTTATAATATTAGAGATGATAATATTAATGTTTTTGATTGTCGTGCATTTCAAACTTGTTTTTTTTTTGTTTTTTTTTTTCTTCATAAAATAATTTACAAGTTCCACTGTAACAATGCTGACAATGACAGTGACCGTCGTCTGCTTTTGTGAACGGGGCCCTCCGGTCTTTGGCTTGCCGCTGCCTTAGTTTGATTTGGAACAGTAACGGAGACAAAGTACATAACATTTCTCTTGATTTGCTCTATCTCTTTCTCAGCCACCATTTTTGTGGCGGATTTGGCAAATGCCGAAAATTGTCAAATGTTGCGGTCAATTTGTGGGGTCAAAAGGGAAGTGAAGCGAAAAGATGTTATTTAGTGAGGGTAGCAGGAAACCGAGAATCCTTAAAAATCCTTCCTCCGTACTACGTTTAAGTTATGTTTCTTGCTAATCAAGGTAATAAGAGAGGAGTGTTCAGTTTAATTTAGAGAATTTTAATAAATACGAAGCCTTCCAATACATTTTTAATGGCCAAAAGGTATATTATCTATATGTGTGGATTCTTATAAAGTTTATTGGCAGACTTAAGATTTATACAAGATCTTTTAAATTCATTTTACTTAAAATTATAATGGATTATTTACATGGGAAGTCAATTTATCCCAGCTGAGCATGGTTCAACCAAAGATATTCTGCTTAATGGCCGCCCATATTCCCCGACCTCTTTTTGGGGCTAGATCGTTTTCGATTTCCTTGTTATACTGCTCTCGAAGCAGAGGATCCAGAGGTCCCCAATTTTTCTTAGGCGTAAAAGCACCGATGATTTTGGCGCCCAAAGTTTGTCCTGGGTCTCGAATAATGGCCACAATCATCCAAATGGGTAGTTGAAGTATGCCAAAGGCTGTGATCATCCAGCCAATGCCTGAAATATAGAGTAATAAGTCATCTTGCTTTAACATTAACCAACAATACTTACTGTAAGCCCAATTTGGATAAATAATATTGTTGTAGGTCAGGGGTTCGTATGTCGCATAGAAGTAGATCAAAATGACAGTCATGATCAGCGGGGTGATGATACTCCAGCAGAGTCTCCAGTAAAGACCAACTTTGCGACCCAACATGAACTCAATATCCTTGCAAAGACGATCGGTGCCGTAAATCCAACCAACAGTATAAAGTTCAGCGATTCCCAGTACCAAAGCAATCATCGAAGCGCCAAAGAAGTCCACTAGGGTTAGCATATATTGACCACCCTAAAGAATACAAAATAATTAAGCAAAAATATTTATAATACATAGTTTTTGGGGACTTACCGGAGTAATGTACATCAGACCGATAAAAAAGCTGACTACCGCAATGAGCAGCGAACATTGCCATTGCTTAAAGTTGGGGAACCGATCACGAATCGCAGTAACCGAACAGGAAGTCATAGCAATATTCGATCCTATGCCCAAAACGAAGAGCATGAGGAAGAACAGCACCGAGAAGATCTGAGGCAGTTGCTTGAACTTGGCAATGGCATCGGGATACGAAATGAAGGCCAAACCGGCGCCACCTTTCACCACAGAGCCAATGTCGTCGGTTCCGATTTCGTGAGCCAAATGTCCAAGGATGCCGAAAATCGTGAATCCTGCCAGCAGGGAGGTCATTGTATCCAGACCCGTGACAATTGCCGCATCTCTATGCACATTGTGTCCGAACTTGTTGAACGAGGAGTACATGATGATGTTGCCAAAACAAACGGAGAGGGAGTAGAAACACTGTGTCACAGCCGCGTACCAGACCTTCGGGTCGAGGATTTTTCCCCATTGCGGTCTGATGAAGTAGTAGATGCCGTCCAAGGATCCTGGCAGTGTTACAGCTCGCACCAAAAGCACACCCATGATAACATAGGGAAAGAGGGCCAGGAAGTAGGAGGCTTTTCCCGAACTCTTCACTCCACGACGAATAATGAAGAACACACAAGCCCAGGCGACGAAAAGTCCGATGACCAGTTCCCAGTTTGGCAGGCCAATTCCATCCTCGATGTTCGGCTTCTCGTGCAGCACTTCCTTACTAAAGGAGGAATATTTCTTATTTAGTGGAAAGTTAACTTTGTTTAAGCCACCACCTATTCAACACAGCAAGCCGAAAACCACAACCAATTTCATTCACATGCTTTGTGACATTTTCTTCAAAATTCACAAGATGACTATTTTTATGAGTACTTAAAAATAGAGAATTAAAAATGTAAATTTACATTTTTCGAAATCTCTTGACTCAAAAGTATAATAATTTCTAAATTTTTTTGAAAAAAATTTTTGCAGAAATGCCCACAAGATTTTAAATCAATAAAATTGTGAGTAATTGCATCTTCAAGTAAGTTGATGAAATTGTCAGAAAATGTCACTGTCCCATAGACCCAGTCACTTAGCACTTACACAAAGTACCATTCCGAACTGGTGATGACCCGATCATTTTCTGATTTCATTGTGTAATTTTGCTGGGGCAGATCATCGCTCTCCACTTGGGACCAATTACCCGCTTCGGGGGCTGAGTTAATGCAGTGGGTTCCCCATTCCGCTCGGCATGTGGCCCAGGGCAATGGGTTGCGGAATGATTCAATGAAATATCGGCCAATTATCGCTACCAGGGCGGCATAGTAAGTGCTGAGCATGAACACCTGGAACGCCTGGCCGGCTCCAACACCTTTATTTCCAATCGATTACAAACGAGTTCCGGAAAGAAAAAGTTTAAACACAAATCAAATGAGATAGAAGAGAGTTATGAGAGCATTCAGATTATTCGGGGTATGAATTTTGGATGACTAGGAAAAATAAAAAATACATTAACTGGTTAGTGAAAAGCAATATGTGGTTTTTTGGAGATAATCATCTGTAAGAATTGGTTTACTGTTTCGGGATTTTAGAAATTTTTAACTAAATAAAGCAATTAATCACATATAATATTTTTGTTTTATCAATAAGTTAAACTGTAATTACTTAGCAGTTAGTTTATTGTGATTAAAAATATATTAAGAAGTGTGTCCACTCATCATCTTTTGACTTTAATGACTTTTAATACATTAGATAATGAAAACAAGTTCAAGGTGCTTGCAAGTTTTTCCGTTCGCATGTCAAAGTCAATGCCAATAATTCAAGTTTAGGTCAAGGCCATACAATGTTGTGATTGAGTGATTCAATCGGTCGGAAAACTGGCCTCGAAAATTGCAGATATTGCCTTTGGTGATGACTGTCAATTAAACTGTCATTGGTGGAGGGAATCACTTTCAGTTTGGCTGGTGCAATCCCATCGCTCTATTGCAGCGCCAGTGGGCCACAATTGATGGCAATAGGCGTCATAATTGCCAGCGGAGGGATACGAGAACTCATTCAATTAGTCGCGTAATAAAGCCGACATTCCGCGCCTTTGTCGGCCGGGCCATAAACTTGAGTCTGCCGCTGCGATTTCGAGTTTCGAGCTGCGATAAGATTACCCACAGTGCACAATTACCCACACACAACACCGAAAAACATGCCGCTGCAACACCACCAACCAGAAATGACAAAGGCCGCGGGGCAACAACCACAGTACGAGAACAAACCACTTACAGAAAATACAACTCGGCGGATGCCACCGGCTGCTGCTGCTGGGCCAATCTCTCCGTGTCCGCGGGGCTGGCCAACTGGGAGGTGTTGCCCAAACTGGACGCCACGCAAAAAGGTTGCCACTCCGGCCGGCACTCGGACCAGGGCAACGGCGAGCGGAACGAATCGTACAGATAGCGCAGGGTTATGCCCATTATGGCCACATAGTAGGTGGTCACCATGGATATGGATATCACCTGGCCGATTCCGACACCTATAGATGCGGTCGCGTATTCGGGACGGTTTGATGAACATAATGGCGATGTACTTTCAGCAGTTCACTGTTGTCATGCTCTTATTTTTTAAGGGGTATTTGAATGTTTTACAAAAGCCTAGAGGGATTTTTACTTAACGTTGCCGGAAATACTTTTAATGGGTGAAAAAAATGGTCCAGATGCAAAAATACAACACAGTTGTATATTAAGAAAATTTGTTATTTTCCTCTTTAAAACGTATATTGTTTTTTGTAAAAATCAAATTAAATTCAGTTATTATTCAAAGATGTTTAAATTGTCTCAGCATTTTTGTTCTTAGTGTCTTTTTGTTTTGAAAAACAAATTTATCCATTATCATCTTAGTTATCTTTTTCTAAAATCATAAAATCTACTTCTGGTTATAAATCTTAATCTATTGTTTTTTGCAACCTTTATCTTTATTTCTCCTCCCAAGAGCATGACAACTTCGAACCGAACTAAATGATCTGTAGGACTCTTACCTTTCATGGCGGGACACAAATCGAACACTTTAACCGAGCCGCGGCTGGAGAACTGGCCGATTACCATTTCCAGATAGTAAATCGGTTTGCCAATCAGGAACAGGACAATGAGATAGGGAATGAGGAAGGCTCCGCCGCCATTGTCGAGGGCGGTGAAGGGGAAGCGCCACACGTTTCCGAGGCCCACGGACATGGCGATGCAGGACATGAGAAACTCCACGCCCTTGCCCCACGTGGCACGCTCCTCTGGCAATTTTCCCGCCTCCTGGTCAGCGGAATTATCTCGCAGGGCAGGATTGTTGGTCTGTGGAACGATGATTAGTTGGCTCATGGATTATGGGGGGAACCGTTTCAGGTGCAGCATTAGCCTACCGAAATATCCACTGTGCTGGCCGTACTGCGTCCATCGTCGCCCACAAAGGCTGGATTCTGGTGGTTCCTATGCGACGTTTCCATTTTGTCAGGGGAAATCCAACTGGAATTATTCGTTCTGTTAGAGGCGAGTTGTGGACTAGAACTAAGTGGGCTCTTTTCGGGATGTTCTTTGCTGAAGCTGTATAACTGACAATCAGGGTAACCAAACTGATCTTGCAGATAAGAAATGATGTCACTGTCACAAGCCAGATAAACTTAGATCGTTAAAATAATAGAAAGAAAGAGAGATGTGGCTGCATCGCCCTTAGATACAGAAATTATGGCACCTGTCTGGCTTTGATAAGAAGATTAAAAGATAGGTTCTATGAAATGCTAACAAATTGTAAAAGAATTTTTAAAGGAAAACATAAGTTATTTAATCGAATAAAACTCCTCTTGTATGCAAACAAGTGCAATAAATTATTTAAACCATTTACAATACCTTCATTAAAAAATAAATATTTATTAAGGGTAATGAATCTTAGCAATTATTTGCGTAAACTAAAGGTAATCACTTTTGTTTGCTAAGACATTTAAACAATTTACACCTTGTTGGATATACTGCGCTAAGTTGTTTATTGGCGTATGTGATAAAACTGCTAAGCCGTGAGTGATATATAAATTTATTTTGATTTTTGTTTGGCAACGTTGGTATGCACACAAAACGTAGGTATGATTGTATTGGCGAACCGTTGAAATATTGACACGTCTTGTTTGAATTTATAAACAATTATTTATTTGCCTCGAGCGGCACGTTTTTTGATCGCAATTTGGCATGGCAATTTCATTTTAATTAATTGTGTTTTAGACAATAAAAAAATAGACTAAAAAATTCTATATTTTTTAAGTGTTAAGGAATATTTGGAGTGGCGAAATGATTTAATGGTTGTTAATAACTTTAGCAATTACTCCAACAAACAGTTGTTTTTGCGAAAAGATTTTGTTTGCATGTGCACATTGTAACTTGAGATAACAATGTGTGCAGGTGAGGAATTGCCCAATAATATCAGATTCTTAATTAGTTCAGTAAAGTTTTATAATTGGCAACAGGCAAAAAATCTATCTATAAATAATTGCGGCCAATAAAGATTAGGGCATATACAAGGCATGTTACAACTGAGTTAGGTATTAAGACCGAAACATTTTTCAACCATATTACATGTAGATTCCATATTTATTCAAACTTTGTCTGACATTTAGATCCGTAATAAAGCATTTGCATTTATTCAATTGGCTTGCCTCATTATCAAACTGGTTTTGAATTCTGCTTAAAAATATTCGGATTCTTATTCCAGACGTTGGAATAATCACAATAAGGTGAGTTCCCCGCCAGATGAGTCATACCACTAGAACTCTATTTTGCTGATTTTATTTTACCTCTTTGAATAAAATATATACAGTGGATTATACAGTGGATTAATTGACGTCATTAATTTCAGACAACGGCGTCGAGTTTTAAGCAGTTTTGTCTGGTTTCATCTTGGCTCACAAGATTGTGGATAAGTCAGTTAGCTTGGCCAAAAACAAAATTATTGAAGTAATGAGTAGTTTCTAATGCCGACAGTAATATTTTTTATTTGTTTTGATTTGCCTGCACAGCGAAGTCATTATACACCCACTTTTAATTGAATGATGGTATAAAGCAAATTCAAAATTACTCAGTTTGGATCCCAAACACTTCAATCGACTACCGTCAGGGCATTAGCATGCAAAAACGTGTTTTATATGGGCAACTTGTTGCGCTCACTGCCAAAACAAACGGACGCTAACGATCGATAGACGAGTCACTATTAAATATGTATGCATTCGGCGTTATGATTTTGGTACCCACGTTGCGTATACGTCATTATTGACGCAGTGGTAACGGGGGAAAAGGTCAAACAAAATTGTACAATTTGTAAACCCACAATAAAACGGTGTTCAAACGATGCAAGATATTGATGGAATATGTTACAACACATGAATATAACATCTGTGTTTGTTACTTCATACGAAGTAAATGTTTTATTTGGATTTTACCATTGAAGTACTTTGGTTCTTTTTTGTTTTTCTCTACAATTTTACAAGTAAATCTATTTTTATTTTATCATGTTTATTTCTCGGTCTTTTCTTAAGCTTTAAAGACACGAGTCGCGGAGCTTAATTTGCATGATCTTCGCTTCCTTGAACTGATTAATGGTGTCTTACCCGGTTTTGTTTTAGCGACTTCTTAAACTCGATATTCTTTGTACACACTGGGGTTTTTTACACCTTCACTTCGGTTCAATTCACTGGACGACAATTGAGTTTATGCTGATTTTCAGGTGTTGCTGTTGCAATGGTTGTTATTGTTGTTGGTGAAGGTAAGATACGGAGCGGCTTAAACTGCTTTGAACCGGCTGGAGTTTAAGTCGTTTAATTAAAACTCTATGCCCAAACCAAGGCTGTATATTTTACAAATGTTTAAGGTACTTTTTGTTTAAGTGTTATTGTTTTGGTGACTAAACGGTTTAACGTTTCAAGCATCTGCAAGATACGATTTTGAAAAAGCTTTCGAACCGAGAGGGCCGCATCCGAGAAACCCGTTATTATTCCAAGAGCCTTTTTGCCGCGAAACGCGTTTCCCGATCACGTGAACCAAAATGCCAATTCGAGTGCCAGCAGCAAACTGAGTGAGCCAGGGCAAGGTTCCGATGGTTTTATTGTGAACTTGACTCTAAAGCCGCCGTTGTTCCAGCCATCGTTAGAGCCACTAATATAGGTGAAAGCTCTACCTGCAGTTTGATGAGTACTGGGTTGCTGTCTCTGTTATGTGATCTCTTAAAGAATTGGTGGCTGGCATTGCTAAGTGATCTTTGGTGGCTGTCTGAAATAGGTAAATAAATACATTTATGTAGAAAATGGTTACTTTGAAGAAATTTAATTTGATTATATTTAATTCACTAAAAATTAACTGCAAAATTTCGCTCATTTGCTAAGATATATTACCATATTGTCTCTTTTTTTTAAATTATATAAACTTAAATCGAAAATTCTTAATCCTCGAATTCTTTTAAAGATATTCAATACCAGATCGGATCAGAATAGCCAGCTTAAAGGGCCGGACTCAAGCTTTCGTTGAGCCCCAAGCTATGCACTTACACTTTTCTCATTACGCACACCAAACACACACACACACACATAGATCCATTGTTCTTATTTGGGCAGCAGGAGCAGATGAAGCAGCAGCTAAGCACAACAACACAAATTGTTATGATAAAAGTTTTTATCAAGTTTCGCTTCGTTTTTGTGTGTCGTCATCGTCTTGGTCTTGCTCTTGGAATAAGTCTGGCTCCTCCGTTGATTTCGCCCATAAGATAGGAAAAGGGGCGGAGAGCGAACGAGATGGAAGGGTAAGTTCTACGTTGGCTAGCAGGAAAATGCATAAAACAAAGCCCCGGGGGCATTTCGGTCCGAGAAGGTGGTGTATGGGGTGGTTTGTCTCATAAAATGTTAACTACTTGCAAAAATACTGCTAACTGGTAAAACTTTAAGCCAAAAATCATTAAGTCTGCACAGAGCATTCTGCCGATGCCAGAGAGAGCGAGACGATGTTCAAGGGACTGGCGTAGAGAAGTTAGCTTGTTTTATGCTAGAAAATTGGTTGCATGGCCATTTTGCGGTTCACTCTGAGATACTGTGGGATTTTCCACACGCCCTTTCCACATGCATGGACCGCCGCTCTCATTCTCGGTTGCTGTCTCACTGGGTCTCGGTTTTTGTCATTATGACTGGGACCTTGGGGGTGACAAAACTGGACCATAGCCGAGCTGTCCATTTCAACCGAATGGACGTCGCTATGTGTGATCTCCCTCCATCTCTCACTGGCCCACAACTTTTTAATTGCAATTAAAAACTAAGCAAAAGTCTTGGCTAAGAAATTGTTAAGTCTCTGGCTTACTTGCAGCTCCTCTTGATGTTGTTGTTTCCAAATTAAATGACGGTAGCTGAGACCGAAAAACTTACAGACTTTTATTTTTTTTGCTTTGGCTATGTTTTGAGTATTGCAGCACAAGCAAAGGTTGTTAACAAATACCAAAGGTTTACGTTTTTAGGAGAAAATAATTTAAGATCAGGTTTAATGAAGAGGAACGAAAATACTAAACATTTTTTATTTAAAATCAAATATATAAAAAGAGCGATTAAAACTTCCATAGTAATATTTAAATAAATATAATAAAGCAAGCCAACTTTTTTTATAATAGCATGTTAAACTAGATCCCCTTTGATCCCCCATTGTGGTAAACGCTTAGCCGACAAAAAAAAATAAAAAAGTTTCGTTTACAATTTTTCAGCACATTTGAATGCATTTTCTCTGCAGCCGCCGCTTCAACTGTTCAACTTTCTTTTGCCAACAGGAGCTGCAGTGTCCGGAATATCCTTGTCCGACCGCCTCAAAGGCTCCTTTGGCTTTTGTGGCCGGGCCAGAAATCATTTCAGCCCTGGCCCAATCTCTCTCTCTGTGTATCTATCTCAGCTCGACTCCGGCTACTCACATGTTATGTGCAAGGTAATCTCCTTTATTACTGCGGCAACTTTTGCGAGGAGCTGTGGGCGGGGTGACGCGCATAAAACAGGATTTCCAGAAGCCACGCCGGACTCTTCGCCGTCGTTGTCGTTAACAACTTTTGCATAACAGGCAATGGGACAAACTGTGGGCATTACGCAAATGTTTATTTGCGGCCTCAAAAAAGTCACGGAGTCATAAAACAAAGTTTCCTCAAATTATATATCGGACAAATCCCATAAATGTCCCAAGCTGAGCGCTAATTGAAAATGATTCCGGGCTACTTATTTGCGTAGTAAATGCGTAGTGGTGCCATTAAACGTAAATAGCCGAATAGAGCAGAGGAGGAATTTTATCTCTAAAATATTCTCTTAATTAACATAATTTTCTCATAGAAAATAGAAATAAACTGACTTAAACTGAGAACTTCTTTTGATAATTATTAACTCAAACAAGAGTAAATGAATATAGTCAGTGTTCGTCAGAAAAAAAAAAAAAAAATAACAAAATTGAGACGGCCACAAGCAGATGCCCACTAAAAATAATCAGGGGATAATAACCACTGCATCAAAAGTGCCGGCGGCTTTTAGAGGAAGAGTAAATGTGGCAGAAGGAGATGCAGCAGAAAGCCGCCATTTTTCTGGCTTGTTTGACAATTGTTGCGGTTGGAGCATGGGGCATGGAGCATGGAGCATGCAACTCGGAACATGGCCGCCATTCATCGTCCGTTCGTGCGGAGAGCCAGCCGGAAGCAGCACCAGATGCTGAACGTGACCATGACAACGATTCCATCCATACACTCCACAAAAAAGGAGAACTTTCAAAAGAATTCACAAACTGAATTTTTAAATAATTGTATAACTTGTTACTTAACATTAGTTTGATTTGTCCAATTGTGTTATGTTTCACAGAAGAAAATACTTTATGAAGGCTAAGGTGAAATTCTCTCAGTGGATCACTGAACAGGAACCAGATCCACCCAGCCACTAATGCCGTGCCACTTGTTATAGCTGTTGTTCGACTCAAAGAGGCATGCAATGCAAGTTGTTATAGTTAGCTGACTCTTGTGGTGCGTGCAGTTCGTAAGTTTGCCGCCGCGAGTTGGGCGTGCCTCAAATTCTCGGACAGCGTCTCTGTCAAACGAATTGGATCTCCGTGGAGTCCAATTTCTTTGCAGAAATTGTATGCTCGGCTTTCCAGTCGTATTGGCGAATACACACCCACAATTTGCTGCGTCTTTGCACTTTACCTTTCGTCAATCCCAAACCCCCAAAAGGTTGAACGGATTCCTTAAGACAAAGCAATCGTTTTTTTCCCCCGCTTTTTTAGTCTCCATCCTTTTTAAGGCTCCTTTTCGTTTAATTGTTTTCGGCACGTTGAGTGTGAAAATGGAAATGTGTCTGGAAGGCGTTCAAGTTGTCAAGGGTTAAGGCGCTGGGCGAAATCCGAGCTCGCTTCGATGCACCGCCAGACGACGACTTTTGTCTTCTGTTGCCTTTGATGGGGCGAGCCTAATTAGCAACGGGCCGAAACAAATTGCTTGTTAATTAAATAACGTCAAAACATGAAAAGGATTTCGCCTTTTTGTCGCTTCTTTCGCGCAAAGTGATTCAAGTGGCATCGAACCCATTGAATGCCACTCAAGAATTCGGTGAAATGAGGATGAAATCAGTTTGAAGCTAGCTACATGAAGGGAATCCGACCTGAAAATCATTTATTGGCTGGTAATGGGAAAATCCAAAAAAGGTAAAAACTAAATACTCATTACAAAACACTTTAAAAAAATCTGTTCATGTCAGGCAATGAAAAATTTAAAAGCACGTTGATTATTATTTTTATCAGAAACATTTTAAAATCGCTTTTAATTTTTTGAAGTTATGATTTGCGAAGCCCAGTCTTGCAACTACTTTGTGCAGGGGTCAATTTAATAATTTGAATGCCATTTCTTCAAGAATGCCATTTCAAAAGTTTAGAGCTATGCCACTTTGAAATCGGACTAAAGTTGGGAAACAAACATCGAAAACTAGAAAAAATCCGACATGAACATGAAATTTCTACCATTTAATTTCATTAGAGGTACAAAAAAAGCGATACAGCCTTAAATTGAACTTCCCCCAGGTCAAACTGAAAAGTCCTGCCACTTGACTAAAAAGACAGCAACGTCTGCGTTTTAGTGAGCAAGTTGCGCTGCCCCTTAGCAAATTAGAACTGCAAACCAATAAACTGCAATACTGGACTGTAAAACGGCTTTCGAATGCACCAGCGAGTGGCTTGGTGGTTTTTCCGTATTGCGATGGCAATTTTATGTCAGCTGCAGTGCAATATGCAAAAGGAGGCGGTGGCCCAAAATTTCGTAAGCGTCCATTGTCGCGGGTCATTAGAGACACGCGATGCCTGCAACTAGTGCGATGAAATCGGAGAATCAAAACCAAAAAGGGGGAAATAGAGCCATAGGCTAACTTCGAATTGCAAAACGCAATTGATTGTCAGGAAAACGCGTCGAAAAAGCGAAAGGAAGAGAAACCAATTGTGGTGAAAAACTCTGCAGAACAAAGGCAAGTATTTATTTATTCAATACATAAACTACTTTTCGTATGGTTGTGTTCTTAAGAATAATAAATATTCTTATTAAAATGTAGTGGTGAAAATCAAGACAATCTACTTGCTTTCAAACAAAGTCTTCTACCTCACACATGAATGGAATGCGCGCTTGCCTTAGATAGTTTTCTTAAATTTTTAATATTCGATCCGGTTTCTTTAGCCCGGAAAAACTTATTGAGATGCCTTCTTTACATTTCACATCTGTCGCTGTCGTTGCCATGAGGGTTATGCTGTTATTGCCGTTTGCGATGTTGTGGCTGAGAAGCAGCAGGTGCATGGATCTAAACGGTTTCCTATTCACTTTGGCCTAATGCGTGTATGAATGTTTCGGCGGGTGGCATGGAACTCAATTCGAAAATACTTAACAAACATTTATTTGAATTTTTCCCTTTTCGTCTTCTTTTATTATTTGCAGCTCCGACTGCTTTCGAAGTTGTTGTAATAAAAATGCAAATAACTCGAACTCGAATGGGTTTGGCTAGTCGTATGCAAAGTGCCAAAAGCTAC